AGCACAGCCTCCGTGAGATGAGCGCTCCTCTCACGGTGAGTTAATGCCGGATTAGATTCGGAGATTTCAAGGAAATTCCAAGTGGAACGAATCGTGTTTCCCTTCTGCACGCTGCGAGCTGGGCCGGAGCAAGGCGCCAGGCTTTGGCGGCATCCAGCGGGGTGCCCAGCTCGGGTCCCCACGGTCGGCAGGTCAGGGAGTTGCTCCCGGACTGGGAGCTTACCGCAAGCCAGGTTCCCCTCAGACAGCCCAGGATCCTGCTTACCCAGCCATGAGTCCCCTGTTTAACAAAGGCAGCATAGACCCGGCTGGAGAGAAGGCAAGCTTCCCTGGCGAATATGTCGGTTTCTGCCCCGGAGGGCCGAGTGGCCTGGTAAGCAGGGAAATGCTGATCTAAGCCGCTGGGGCTGGTTGCGGGCAGGTCAGTTTCTCTTTGTGTCAATTTTCCGTATACAAGGTAATCCACCAAAGCAGTGAGGAGATTTGCGCAGAGAAGCCGCTTGCACCGGCCCTACCCCAAACGATTCCTCACCATTTGGGGCCTGTGCCAAAACGGTTTCCAGTCCATGGTGACCCCAGCGCCCCTGGCAGCTGGTTCCTGGGCAGACTTGAGCCATGCTCCGGGGAAGATCTGTTCTCGCAGAGTGAGAGAGAAAACAAACGAGTTGGGGTCAATACTCTGAGAGGTGGACAAGTCTTTAGCTCAGCCAAGGAACGAATGGGGGACAAAATGGGGGAGGGCTGGCTCCTGCACGTCTCTCCTCGTCAACCGGAATCCGCAGACCCTCACTCCTGCGCAGAGCCCGGAGCCCCAGGGGTTGCCGGACCCTTGGGGAGATAACATCAGAACCAGTGGTCTCCCGGCAGTGCATAAGGGTGGAGAAGGTGGTTCCTTCCAGGTGCCGGTTAGCCAACCGAAAATGCCTGTGTCTCTGTCCCTCCTAGTCCTGGCCTTCATCTGCCCCCTCCTCAAGAAGTGCTCCCTCCTCCTCTTTTCAATCTTCCTGGCAGCATGGTGGGGGCTGGGCCCCAGCCAGCCTAGCTTTCAGAGCTGGCTTCTCTGGAAGTGCCCTTGGTTCTGACGCCTAAAGCTTTTTGCTTGTACAGTGTAGGCCCACCCTGGGCCCCAATTTGTTGGCAATTGAGGGGGGTGCACAAGTAGATCCCGAGAGGTTGCTGGTGTAGTAGCGGCTCAGACCGAGTCCCACTTCCTCATCTTCTTGCCTGGCCCTGGTCAGTTTCTTCCCCCTACTTCCCCGGCCCCCACCCCTTTGGAGCAGGACAGCTTCTATGCGGAGGTGATATTGGGGGAGGGGAAGGCACTGCTGGGAAATTGGCTTCTGTGTTCTCCTGCCCTTACTCCCTATTATAGATTCATCATTTTCATCAGCACAATGGCTTCCCACCACCTTTGCTTAGATGTTTCCTTCCCCTAGGTATGGTTTCCAGTTACAAAGCACTTTTATGGCCAGCCTCCTACCTGAGTGTCATCTAAACCCTCAGCTAAACCCATTGTACAGAGTATGATATTGAAGTCAGAGAGACAAAAAGACTGAGAGGAAGTTCACATGGGCAAAGCTGGAGCTGGTTCTTGGGTCTTCCAGGATTCACAGAAGGGGAGAGGGCGGGACTCAAGATTCCAGAGAGAGGGCAGTGGCCTGTCTGAGTGAGTACACACATGTGCAAGGCATTTTCTCTGGTTTTACTATATCTTTCCCCATGACACGACTGTCCATCTGTGTCAGCGCCTGTCTGTTGGTTTGAGCCTGTTAAGGAGATTTCATCCCTGTTCTTTCCCTGTGTCCCTGTTTGCGTGTCTGTGTGTCCCTTCATTTATCATCTCTGGTGCCACTAGGAGGAATTTCCCTAACGTTGTGGGGTTTTAGAGTTGGTTCTTCCCACTGAGTCAGCAGAGACCCTCTCCCCACAACCTTTTACTTAGCCCTGGTCTTTGGGGTTTGGATAGGGCCCCTGGTGGGTAGTACGCCCTTATCAGAGCCTAAGGAGTTTCTGTGCAGGCCAGCCCTCAGAAACCAGAGCGACAAAGGCCTCAGGGGTATCTTTAACCCTTTTCCCCCAACCCTCCCCCAAACCCTGCTTAGCCTGCCCTGTGGAGGTGGGCCTGTGTTTCCCTTGTATCTGTGTGTCTGTTTCCTGGTCTTTGCCTTGATTTGTTTGTATCTGTCTCTGTGTCAGGCTCTCTGAAAATTCTACTTGGCCCTGAGAAGTATAGCTGGGAACATGCACTCCTCAGGGGATGAACCCTCACCCAACTGGAGTCCATAGGAAGTAGAGGCTGGGACTTGGGTTCTCTGAGGAGATGCAGGGCTGGAGCTGGGGTCCCAGAAAACAAAGATTCCTTTCCACAGATGTCCTCTGTCTTCTAGATGCCCCTTTACTGGGCTTCCTCCATTTTCTCTTCTGGACTTCTTGCCTCCCACTGTACACCACTCTCATCTTTCTTTTTGCCTGTACTAGCCGATCCATTCCTTTCTCTCCTCCTCTGCCTTTCTAACCTGAGGCTTCCCTTCCACACTCTCTGTCCTTGCTGTCTGTTTCATTTAGTTTCCACGCTTTGCATCCTTTCCCTCGCTTTTCCTCTTTTCTTTGCCCATCCTGCCTCCCTCTCTCAGGCTTCAGGCTTTACTTCTTTCCAATCTCAGGGTAAGTGGGAGACATTGCCTTCTCAGACCAGGTAAATTACCTCCCCACCATCCTTTAAATGCTCTATTGGATAGGACTGTGGCTGAGCCAGAGAAGGCCCAGCTAAGTGAGTTTGGGAACCTTCCCAGGACGTTGAAGGAGATAGGGGGCTCCCAGGTCATCCTGAGTCTGGTGTCAGGTGTGGTTATATGGATCAGACTCCGGAAGAACATAGGTAGACTTGTCTTTGTGGTTAAAAGTAGAGGGTTTGGGGACCTGCTATCACCTAGAGTGTCCAATCCTTGGGGTTTTTCCATGATGCAAACGGTCCCAAAAGCTCACAAATGTCCTGTAGGACTGCTCTTGGAATTTAAGTCCTCTGAAAGTTGCCACTGTGTTTTGGGCATGAAGTTTAAATTCCCAGGGGTGTAGGGAACAAGCAATTGCAAATGGGTTACAAGGCCTGGACCAATAGGTTGTCTCAAAAGTGTGCTGGATGCTTTTAGCTTCCTTTTTGTCCTCTCAGATGAGCTTATACCAATTTTGAATTTACTTTCTTCACTCCAGCCTGTTCTCTAAAGATCTGTACAATTCTTTTTTATCAGGTGCTCCCAACCCCAGAACAAAGCCTTTCTAAGGCCCTTGACCAGGGATGGCTGTCATCTTTCTGTTTTAGGTGAACTACGCAGTTTTGTTTCTAACTGTGAAATCCTGTTTAGGATGGTTTTCCTGTTTCTTATGTCTGGGGTGTTTTAGAACGATCAAAACGGATTAAAGCTCATTTTGAAAATCAGAGAGAAATTCGGCTAAGAATTAGAATTAAGTACTGTCGTTACCTATAAAATTGTGTTTTTCCTTGAAATCAGCCTGAGCTCAGAAATTTTGGAAAATATTCAGTTAGGACCCTCATGGAAAACTTCAGTGAATTGCTTTGGTGGTTTTAAGGAAATGGGTTATGTTATGGGTATTTTTCTCCTTTTATTTCAGATGTTCGTAAACCTAGATAGTAATTGAGTGCTGGGCGGGTAGCTGAGATGAGGTGGCTATTTTATGTTCTAGAATTGGAGTGTGTGTGTGTGAGTGAGTGAGAGAGAGAGATGTCTGAGATGTCCTAGCTTCCCTGGTATAGTCTAATCCCAGGCCAGTCCCAGTTTAGATGGAGATTTCCCCATCGCTGGCCTCTGAGCTGCCAGCAGCATTGGTAAATAAATGCTTGCACTTGGATTTTGGCTTTTGACTGTGCTCAGCGATGTCAGTTAGTGGCTGATTAACAGCTACAAGGTCAATGATGTTACACTGGCTCACTCCGTGTTTACTGGTTTTGCTCTTCATTTACTTGGATCCCTGTTTCCCTCCAGATGGACTCTGATGTAAGAGAAGGGCGCTTATTGGGTGGAGAGGATACTTTCCCAGACTCCTTTTGCTTAAAATCCATCTCAGAGTGCTTGTAAAACCTGGGCCTCGGAAGCCTTCTCCAGCTTCTTTATTTCCCCCCTGAACCAACTTCATGCTGCTTGTCAGTTGCAAAATCACTTCACAAATTCCAGGGAAACTCCTGTATAACAAACCCTGATGTAGTAGAGTGGAATGTGATCCTCTGACCCATTTCTTTTGTGTGCTCTGAGGGTACAGTGGTCAAGTCTGCATGTCAGCCTCACCTTTTTTGTTTATTTTTCCCCTTTATTGAGGGATGAGCCCCATCTTTTTAAAGAAAAGTTTTTTGTTTTGTTTTTTTTTATCAAGGCAGTGGTTGGATTTTGTTTCAGTACTCGGCAGACACTATTTAAACAAAAATTTTTAAGTCCTTAGCCCTTGAATCAGATTGCTGATTAAAAACAAAAAACAAAAAACAACCCATTTTTTTTCCCCCTGAGATCTAGGTTTATTGGAGTAGTCCTTTTCACTTTCACAGATATTTGTTAAAAGGAAAAGAGTTTTGTTTGTAAAAATCTCTTTATATTTGGTGTATTTTAAAACATATTTTCTCCCCAGGATCTTCCTTAGACCTCAGCATCATGCATGTAATAAGTTATGTCTCTAGTGTAGATTGGGGTCTTTTACATATTCCGTTGTTAACAAAAAATTATAAGGCGGATGCTAGCAACTAAAGGAAACATAGTATGGGGATGCTTGTTATCAATAGCCCGATTGACTGGCTGAAGATGGACAAAGGCAAAGGTTAATTTTAAAAAGCAAGATGCTCATGAAGCCTGCACGATCAGACTCCAGGCTCAAGACATCCAGCCTGCAGCCATTTCTGATCAGAGGGGCTCTGGGTGCTTTTAACAGCGCTTCTGGTACTATGTGACTGGTTCTAACCACCCTTTCCCTTGCCTTTTGTTTCTGATCTGTTTCAGGACATGGAGGAGTGAATCAGCTTGGGGGGGTTTTTGTGAATGGACGGCCACTCCCGGATGTAGTCCGCCAAAGGATAGTGGAACTTGCTCATCAAGGTGTCAGGCCGTGCGACATCTCAAGGCAGCTTCGAGTCAGCCATGGTTGTGTCAGCAAAATTCTTGGCAGGTAAAGGCAGGAGCTACAGGCTTCCCTTGATTTTTCAAATAATGACCTAAAACATGACCCAGCAGCTGTCCAATGTGCCTGCGTCATACTGAAAATCATGGTAGCACTTCGCTAACATGCATAGTACTTTGGAATTTGCGAAGCCCTTTCAAGGCCATTCCATTCAAAGTAGCCCTGGGAAACCCCCATTTCAAATGACATGTGGAATGGCGTGACTCAATCAGGAGGAATGACATGTTTTCTCAAAGCCTGGTGAATTATTCCAAAGGACCCACGAGTGAGAGGTTCTTGGGAATTTCCCTTACACATCTTGGGTGAGCCCGGGACCTGAGCAGGGCTGGGTGGAAAATCCACAAGTTACAAAATCACATTATCAAGTTCAATGTTTTATTTTAACGTTTTCAAAAAGCACATTCCTTTTTTAAAGGTCAGCTGTCATTTTCAGTTTTGGGGTATCATCAACCTTCTTATGTGGCTGTAGTATTTTCCTCCTTATATGTTTTGTTTCCTTCATAGTGACAGGCATCCTAAGTGTATATTAGAGAGGGAAAAAAAAAAACAGAAAACACACACTAACTCTCAAATCTGACATTTGAAAGTTGCCACTTGACCCGTCGATTTGCTGCCAGCAAAATACTAACGATGCCAATCGATGCCCAGCCTTCGAGTACTCCTGTTTATTTTCTCAGGAGAACCTCAGTATGATCCAGGGAAGAATGTTTTGAGATGAAGAAACAAATCTACAGAGGTCAAGTGACTGACCCAGGTCCATCCAGCCAGTCAGTCCTCTCGGACTGGGAGGAGGCCTCAAGGACTCCTAGACCATCGGCATCTCACCATATCCCAAAGCCAAAACCACAGGTTTTTTTCTGGGCATGTGAAGTTGTTAGAGGTCTGCCCTAGCAGCTGGAGTATTCTCAGGTCTAGCTGTTCAGTGCTCTCTCAGGCTTTTTCTCCCTGGGTCAGAAAACAACCTTGGTCCTATAGCTTGCATTATGATTTGAGAACAGTTGCCTGAATAGAAAAAAAAAATATTTGAAGTATGTCAGTGACATTGTGATTTTCTGCATGTTCTTTCCCTTTCATCTGCTGGAATTTAAGAAATTCTCTTAGATGGAGGGAATAGCAGTTTCTACCCTTGGGGAGCCGTATTGGAGACCAAGGGAAGAAGTTTCAAGGCCAGGGGTCTGGCATCTCCTTTGGGGACCTTGATCCTTGTATTTATTCCTTATCCCCTGCCCACCCCAGGTCACCTCGCAGCCAGGGAGGCTCTGGGCTCCACTCCTGTTTAGCCCTCGGCAGCAAATGAGCCCTAGCCAGAGTTCAAGGAGGAAGGCTGGACATCAGCATGGTGTTCTCATTTGTTGGTGGTTTTAGGCAGGAGGATGTGAGTGAGAATAAAAGAAGAAAAATGGAGGAGAGGGAGATGAAGAGAAAAGAGAATGACTGATTTTAAAACAGAGAATAGACTAGAATAGAGCAGTGAAGACAAGACAGAAGGAGAGAGAGAGAGGAAAGAAATATTTTGGACTATCTCAGTGTCAAACTTTGAGAGCCAAGTGGATCTTAGCTTTCTTCTTGGGAAGCCTCTTCATTGCACTGAGGGAGAGAGAAAGAAACAAGAAGGCCTTTCCTTTGTTTTTGCTGAGACGTTGTTGAGCCGACATCTTGCTTGCTATTTGAAATCTTCTCAGGGCAAGATGCCGAGCCCTTCTCAGAAGGGACGTCCAGATGCCGAGTCCTCATGTTCTGGTGCCCGGGAGCCCTCCAGATCTCCCCTGGAGACTGAAGGGGACAAGGACCCTCCCAGGCCCAGCCGCCCGCCTCCCGAGGCTCAGAATAGATTTGTCACTAGGTAGAGTGGCACTCGGAAGTTATGAGCCGCTCCGGTGCCTGGCCGTTTAAGTTGTCAACAATAAATTGGAATTTCATAGCTCATTATTTTCATAACTAAGAACCACAGTGGACAAAATGTCACTCTAATTAGAACTGCCTTTTAAGAAACAAGTTCAGGCCTAAAACAGTGTGACTGGGAATTTCTGAACTGGGGCTGTTCCATCCACTGACTTGTTTTTTTTGGTCACCGAAGAATTTGATAGGCGCACTTGGAGTGACAGATTATAGAGAGTGTGTTGTGTGTGGTGGTCGTGGTTTTCAGAGGCTGCATGACAAGGCAGGCAGAGTCCCTGGGGCAGGCAGAGACCCCCATCATGTTGGGAAGGTGGCGTTTTGCCAGGAGTGTGGGCATTCAGTCCACAGAGCTCGAGGCTCAGGAGCCTGGTGGCATGTGAGGCCCATTTAAATCCACCCAGAAAGCCTTGTCTTCTTTCATTGGAGCCTGGCTGGGGGGTTCAGACCGTTTGGAACTGGGTGGTATGTTACACAGTAATAAACACTCAGAGGATTTTAATCCGCAGCACGTGCTCTTTATGTTTTGCAGAGCTTTTTCTTACCCATTCTGCATTTCTGCCTGCGTCCTGTGAGGCAGCCTGGGCAGACGTCCTCCCCTTATTATACAAATGGAGCAACAGAGGCCCAGAGAGGCTGAGAGATTTGGCCAAGGTCACACAGCTTGTTAGTGTCAGAGGCACGGACTAACACGCCCAATTCTTTACTCCCAAACTAGCGTGCCGAGTGTTGGTGGCGGCTGGCTGTCTGCTGTGTGTAAGCCAAGAGGCTGAGTGGTTGTTGTGCTGAGAGGAAAGAGCAATTCTTCAGTCCCGATTCCTCACTTTGCACAGTTGCCAACTGGGGTTTCCCCCTGGGGTGTCAGGGTTGCCTTCTAAGGGCCTGGCTGATGGGTCAGTCAAAAGGCAGACAGAGGTCTCATGTCAAGGCTGTGACCTGCTGTGGTTGGCCCTGCTCGGAGAGCCCTGGGTGCTGCCACCCCCAGCCAGGCCAGCGGGACAGGGGCTGGGGGGAGGGGCAGCTCCCTCCCGCGGCTCTCTCAGCGGCTGCGGGAATATTGCCGGCTCATGCCACTAGCATGTTTTGAGTTCTCAGCCCAGGTTTGTCTCTGTGTCTGTAACTTCTGCCCCAAGACAGTGCCTATAACTGGCACTCTGTAACTAGTGAGTGAGTGCGAAGATGCATGCGAACTGCCTGGTAAACGGGAAAGCTTTCTACAGTTGCAAGGGATCATCAACATCATCGTTGTTTTCATTTTCACAAAGCAGAAGTTTGCTCTAGTGGGAAGAAGACTGGGTTGAGATTCAGATCTGAAGGCTGGCACTGGCTCAGACTTCCAGAAGGAAGTTGGGCAAGTCACTTATTCTTCTAATCATCAGTTTCCCTGTCCATAAATAAAACCCACTGGCCTCTTAGGATTGATGTGAGGATCCAGATAATTTGAGGAAGAGCTCTGTATAAACTTTAGAGCACTGTGCCTAAATAAGGAGTTACTGTGTTGTCGATAGTAAGAAATAACTTTTTATTGTAAAATTGGAAGGATAATTGGAAGCTGCAGAGATTGCTGTGTGCCTTAATTTGGGTGCCTTTCTAACCTTCTGGCAAAATAACATTTTCTTGGATAGTTCTTAAAGCCTGTTTGTGATTAATTACAATTTTTCAGTCATTACAGAAAGAGGGAGGATAGGTTGAGTTTTGCCTTATGGTTCATATTTGTACATGACTCACTTTTCTCAGTGAAAAACAGAATTTCCACTTCTGCATCACTGCTCCCAAATTATTTCATCTGTTCCTAGAATATCCACTAACTTGGCCCTAACTAGATTTACCCAGACCGAGAATTTCAACATCTCTTTAAATGTAACTAGTCATTGTTCTTGGGTAACACTTCCCATCCATCCCATGGGAGAATCGCCTCTTTCCCTTACCTGTTATAAACTCTTGGTAGGTTGAAAAATTACCAGGGATGGGGGCGCCTGGCTGGCTCAGTTGGTGGAGTGTGCGACTCTTGATCTCAGGGTCTTGAGTCCTGGCCCCACGTTGGGTGCAGAGTTTACTTAAAAAAAAATTAACAGTCATTTCTAAAATGTCTTCTTGGCTAAAACAATTCTCAACAGCAAGATAATCTCCTTTGCAAGAGAAATCAAGAATTCCTCTGTAAATGTTGAGAGACATCCAGTAAAGGCTCAGATTCAGAAAAGGAATCAAAGTAATATCTTTTCCCCTGGAATGATCTTTCACGGTACTCTTCTCCCTGGTCTCGGTTTTACTGTAAAACCCTGACATCCTATTTGTGTTAACGAGGAAGAGCTGATAGCATGGAAATGTCCTTAGAAACAGCGATTTACCTCAGGGGAGGTCCCTGGAAGAGCTGCAGTGACTTGTGGTTGGCTTTTTTTGATTGCTTGGGTTTGGACTTATATATATTTCCAGTTAATTCTGGAATCCAACACCCCTTTTAATTTTATACTAAGGTTATCATTTTAATCTTATGGCAAAAAAAGTTGCATTTTAGGGGACAGTTTCACAGAATGCAGATGGAATCTGCTAGGGGATGGGAGTGCTGGTAAATTAAAGGCACAAGCCAACTTTCTGGGGGAAATTTTAGCTCGGAAGGCCGGGCCTCCCTCCTGGTTTGGCCAGTGGGTCTTGTGTGATCCTGGACAAGCCATTTAACCTCTATGGATCTCTGTTTTATACCTACCAATAGGGACCTATTCATTCATTTTTCTTTCATTTGTTCAAAATATTTATGTGTTTTAGAACTGTTGGGGGGTGGGGGCGCCTGGGTGGCTCAGTCGTTCAGCGTCTGCCTTCGGCTCAGGTCATGATTCCAGGTCCTGGGATCGAGCCCCGCATCGGGCTCCCTGCTCGGCGGGAAGCCTGCTTCTCCCTCTCCCACTCCCACTGCTTGTGTTCCCTCTCTTGCTGTGTCTCCCTCTGTCAAATAAATAAATAAAATCTTAAAAAAAAAAAGAACTGTTGTGGGGATCAAATGGGAAAGCTGACTTGAAAGTTTTCTGTAAACTGTAAAATGGTAGATAAATGTGATAGAATGAATTAACTAATTAATGCATAGCATCCGGACCAGCACTGTCCGATAGAAATAGAATGTGAGCTGCGTTTGAAATTTAAAATTTCCTGGTAGCATATTTAAAAAGGGGAAAATAAACAGGTAAAATGAATTTTATGTATCTTATTTAGCCCAGTATATGAAAAATGTGATCACTTCAGCATATAACCAATATAAAAATTATTAATGAGACATTTTATGTTTTTTTTTTTCTACTAAGGTTTGACAGTCTGGTGTGTATTTTATACTTATAGCACACCTCAATTCAAATGAGCCATATTTCAAATGTTCAAAAGCCCTGTATGGCTAGTGGCTGCTAAACTGGACGGCACAGATCCAGATGGTTTCTGGATAGAGTTAGCTATTTTGTTGCAAACATCCATTTTGCTGGTCCATTTTGCTGGTTCCTCATGGCTAAGCTCCTTTCTCCTTGGGTCCTAGGTATTATGAGACGGGGAGCATCAAGCCTGGAGTAATTGGAGGATCCAAACCAAAGGTCGCCACGCCCAAAGTGGTGGAAAAAATCGCTGAGTATAAACGCCAAAATCCCACCATGTTTGCCTGGGAGATCAGGGACCGGCTGCTGGCGGAACGGGTGTGTGACAATGACACGGTGCCCAGCGTCAGTTCCATCAACAGGTGAGGGGCTGGTGCCTGTGGGAGGGCTAGGGATCTGGGTGGAGTGGGGTATCCTAGAGGCTCTGCGGGTGCTTTTCCTAAGGATCTGGTCTCTCCATTCATTAAGGCTGCTTAAGGGTTATCAGACAGGAGGGGGGCTAATGGGGCCTCAATAGATCTCTCTATCGCCTTTCTCGTCTTTCCAAAGTGGGCAGGAGTTCTAGGCCCAGGGAGGGAAGGCCATGTCAGTGCCCAGGCTGCTTGAGATTCTTCTGAGCCCAGAGTGATTTTTATCACTCGCTTTCCCACCCGCCTGTGTGTGTGGAGCATTTAGCAGGGGATTGTCCTGATCGGGCCCCACAAATGTCACTTCCTTGTAAGCCCATGCTCAAAGTCTTAGCACTGGCCTATATCAGAGCTTCCCAGGAAGAAAATCCCTGCCTTCAGTTTGGGCAGAGGTTGAGCCACTGAGTGTGGAAAACAGCCTGGACTTGAAGTTGGAGGATTTAGTTCTTGTCCCAGCTCTGCCACAACCTTCAAGTGTGACCTTGACAAAGCTCTTCCTGTCTCTGAGAGCCCCAGACTCTGGGGGTTCTGATGTGGGTCTGTGATCTCTAAGAGTGACATCCAGGACACTAAGATGCTGTGGAGTTAGGGGGCTGCCCTCTACCCAGTTGCCCTCAATCTCACTCATGGAGAGAAAGAACCAGAGAAATACCGTGAATACCAGGCATGGGATCTTCCTGGGAGCTGCAGAGGCACCTTCTACTCTGCAGTCTGATCCAGGAAGTATCTGACGGAGCTCTCAGAGCTTTAAAAACTCATGAAAGAAAGTTTTCTATTGTAGATGGTGCAGTCTCAACTCCATCTAAACCCACAGAGGTCAAGGATGAAGTTGTAAGATAAACAGAAATGATGGTTGTCTAAACTCCACAAAGAGAAGAGAAGCCGGCGGGCCGATAACTTGACCAGTTCCCATTTCTCCAAGGTCACAGGCGACCCTTGTCAGTGCAGAGCCTATTTGGGCATAGGAGACCCCTTGCCTCCGGCAGAAAGAGGTGGTTAGACTAGAATGTCTCAGAGATCCCTTCTGGGCCTGCTGGTTGTTCCTTCTGTGATGACTCAAATGCACAGAGTCACTGTGTCAGTGTCTGTGTTGATGTTTTGAGTCCTGCTATTTCATTACCGTCAGCCTGTTTTCTTTCTCTCAGCAAATCTTTACCTTGGCCCTGACATCATGCAAGGTGCTGAGAAGAGAGAGGGAAATTGGGCACACTGTCTCTTAGTCTCTCTTCTAGAGGGCCTCCTTGTCTAGGACGGGATTCTGGTGCAGGTTAGAAGGCCCGTCAGCCCAAATTAGCTGAGGAGGTAGCAACTGTTGTGGTGGGTTTGGGGGGCGGAGAATACTCCTGTTCTTTTTCTGGATTATGAGGGGCTCCAATGTGCTTTGTGAGTCCCCTGCTTCTGGCTCATTGCAGGATTTCCATCACGCAAAGCAATGTGACTTTTTCCCCATGTCTCTAACGTGGAGTGAGGCATACAGTGCCTATCAGCGATGAGGCAGCAGAAGTCTGCTCTGCAAAGAAACTTCTGCCAAACCCATGGTCAGGCTTTGGGGGCCCACGGATTTCCCAATGTAGGGTGTACATGTAATTGGTGGTTTGAAAGATAACTTTAGGTTGCCCGTGGGGGTCCCAAACTCTAATGCCTGTTGTGGCCAGGCAGTGAAGCAGGCCAGGTGTGAGGTGATAGGGAAAGGTCGGGTCTTTGGCAAACAGAGAGCACAGCAGTATTGAAGGGGCAGATGCTTCTCAGCACCAGCTGAATGCTGCCAGGAATGCAGGCCCAGGATTTGCCAGAATCTTTCCACTCTTAAATGGAATCTGGAAACTAGGATTAGTGTGTGCATGGATCTATGTGTATGTGTATATAAAACCTCCATATTTTTAAATGGGGGAGACTCATTTCAGTGGAAAAAAAAAAAGCCTTACAGGGCAAGCATAACTCATTTGCAGGGCTCCAGCCCTTCTGTAATACAAGGATGAAAATTATTTTACGATGAATTTATTTTAATGGACTTTAGAAAAATATAACTGGAACACCAAGCCAGTCAGTGTGAACTTTATGGACTATCCCTCCCCTTTACAGTAAAGAACTAGTGTTGCCTCATAAAAGAAGGTCTATTTAAGTCAAAAAGTAAGTTACTTGAAAGGAACAGATGAAATAAATAGAGCACATAGCTTGGCAGAGGGGGTGAAGGCTGTAAGGGGTACTTGAATGAGTGTCTAGGGAAACCGTGGACCAGCCGATGCCTTGTGCTTGGAGCTTTTCTGTGCAGCTCTGGCTGCTGGTTGCTCGTGGCTGGGACCGTGGCCGGCCTCAGGGCCTCCCGGGTGTCCCCAGCGGGGGCTGTACCTCTGAGGTGTTTCACACCTGTGGTCTCCTACAGCCCTTGAGGCTTAACTCTGTTCTGTGGCAGGTAAAGAAACAGGCCCAGAAGGGGAGTGCAGAGGAATGATGATTTTGAGGTGGAGCTGGGAGTCGAGCCTAGGTTCCCTGATGGTAAGAGGAGGGCCTGTCTCTTTGCACTGTCCTGGAGGACTCTGCCAGTGACAGGACTGAGGATCTGACAGAAGGGAGGCAGGGGGGAGTAAAACAGTCATTCCTACTCCGTCTCTGTGCACTTTGCAGCCTTTGTGCTTTGCAGCCTGTCTGCAGCTCCCTCGGGGACCTGTAGCCCTCTCCTGCGCACCCCTCTGGGGGCTCTTCTCTGGGAGCACACTCTGGCTCCTTACTCCATTCCTCACCCAGAGCTCTTTGTGGTCTTTAGCCAACCAATGCAGCAATGCAGATAGATGAGGTGTGGGACACTGTCTGTTGCTGCCTGCCTGCCCCCCACTGCCCGAGAAAGCCTGAGCCTCCCAGCACGCAGGTTCTGTTTTCCATACGAAGGCAAAGCTGCTGCACTCTGTTCAAATGGATGCAGTTTGAAAGAACCGTCTTGCAAATGTCCATAGATTCCTCTCCCAGGCCCTGCCTCCCTTGGGGGCAACTTCTCACGATTCCTTTATTTCAAACAGCTAAGGAGGGAGTGGTGGTTGGATTGGTAGCTATTCCGGGGGCCACAGTGTCATCTCCAGTGTCCACCCCCACAAGTATAAGCCTTCCTGCTGTCTTCTGGGAGACCAGTCCGGGAACCCCTGACCCACATGGAGTTAAGTGCCATCGCACCTGTTGTGCTGAGTGTGTGGGAGATTTCCTGGGACACAAGCCAAGTGTCTTGTTATTCTGTGGCTTCCTAAGGACAAGGAAGCGCTGGGATGCTGCCAAAGCTGCACCAAGGATTTTTAGAATCCAGCCTGAGTGCCCGTTGGAGGAGACGGTCCGAGAGCTGACAGAAACAGGTGGAATGGAGCCTGCCTTCTGTTCGAGACCTGTGGCTCTAAATCAGGGGCCAAGTAGTGGGCACCGTGGGTGGCATTCTCAGTTAGAAGGACAGTTCTCTTTAGCACCGATTGGTTGTTATCATGTGAGAACGTGGGGTCAGCATGGCTAGGTGTTCAGATTTTTCAAGGGAAGCTACAAATCCATGTATTTATGTAAAAGCTCCCACCTTGCAAATATTGGCAACTAATTCAAATGAAAATAAGTAACCGTGCAAGCCAAATAAAGCTTGTTCAGGGATGGACGTGGCCTGGGGGACGATAGTTATAAACTCTACTCTTCTTCTGAACTTGGGCAGCAAGACTTCTGAGATTGTTTACTCATTCCCTCTTTCTTCTCCAAGTCAGTTGCTGGCCTGGGTGTCCCCTGTGGGTCCTCTCCCAGTATGGCCCAGTTGAACCCTTGGTTGTGGAGTCTTTCTTTCTTTCTTTCTTTTTAAAAGATTTTATTTATCTATTTGACAGAGAGAGAGATCACAAGTAGGCAGACAAGCAGGCAGAGGGAGAGGGAGAAGCAGGCTCCCTGCCGAGCATGGAGCCCGATGCGGGGCTCGATCTCAGGACCCTGGGATCATGACCTGAGCCGAAGGCAGATGCCCAACCAACTGAGCCATCCAGGCGCTCCTAGTTGTGGATTCTTAGCACAGCTGGTGGCCCAAGATTCTTAGTGCCCAGTGGCAGTTTGATCAGTTCCGTAGATGTGGGGATCTCTTCAGCCTTGTCTTCCTATTTCTTTTTTAAAGGCACCACGATTTTCTCTTTCAGTGTAATTGTGTGTGTGGGGGGGAATGTGTCTGAGAAAACCTAGCCTTTCAAAGAAGTGAGGGTGATGTTGAAATCGGATCTTATAAATGCCTGTAATACCTGAAGTCCCTGGGACGTTAGTCCTTCAGCTTCTAAAAGGATTTGGAATCCAATATTTCCTGTAGGAAGTATTTAGCAGGGGAATCACTTCCTTTGAATGTGGTCCAAAGGAAAGTGCTTAGGCATGGGACCTGGAAGTCTGGGCTGACCTGCTGTGTGACCCTGGGCAAGTCACTGGAGCACTCTAGGCTTTGGTTTCCCCATTTGGAGGAACTGGTTGATTGCTGAACTTTCTTCCCTGTTGGACGGTCTAGGATGTTCACATGGCACCCAGGGTCATGCTCATGCTCAGTAACGTAGAGGTTAGACCTTTTAGTGTTAAGTGCCAGTTAGCCAGGCTGTCTCTGGTTTAGAAAAGGTCTGGAGTGTGACTCTTATTGTGATTGCTTGTTAATTTTAAATTTTTAAAGAACTGCTATGATTCAGTTAGTCTTGTTCTTCCCACTACCATTTCTTCTCAGTGGAAGATAATGCTCTTTGTTCTTTTTTTTGGCAGCTGCTGCAAGCAGATGGGCAAAATCTCTATCCCTGGGGACAGCTTTGGCGTGTTCCCTATATTTTGGTCTCGCCTATAAAGGACAACTGCACTACAGCCTGAAAATAGGGTGTGGGGATGGCTGCTTTCCCCTCCCCAACTCCCAGGGGGGATCCCATGTGTTTTTAAGGCATTCGTGGAAAATACTAACCTTTTAAGGTTGAAGCTGGTCTTTAGTCATTATGAAGATACTACTGAAAATAACAGCTAACATTTATAGAGAATTTACTATGCAGTAGCCACTATTCTAAATTATTGATTAGTTTAATTCTCATAATAACCCTAGGAGGTAGGAGTGATTCTTAGCCCCACTTTGCAGATGAAGAAACCGAGGCACAGAGAGGTTAAGTAATTTACTCAAGGCCATGCATTTGGCAAGTTGGAAAACTGGGATTCAACCTCTGATTCTGGAGCCTGTGTATTTATTTATTTATATAATTTTAAAAAAAAAGATTTTATTTATCCTTTGGGGGTGAGGGGCAGAGGCAGAGGGAGAAGCAGGCTCCCCGCGGAGCAGGGAGCCTGATGCGGGGCTCGATCCCAGGGCCCTGGGATCATGACCTGAACCCAAGGCAGACGCTTAAATGACTGAGCCACCCAGGCGCCCTGTGGAGCCTGTGTATTTAATCAATATGCTGCAGCTGCCTCTTGATTATTTATAACAGTTGATAATGTCTTACCAAATGATTTATAAGTATTTTAGAAGAAAAATAAGGAAAATAGAATTGTCTTTGTTTGCTTAAATTTAATGGCCAGACAATACTTTGAAAAGTTAGGACTTTATGCTGAAAGTAATGGGAAATAGTTCTGATATATTTTACCATATTTTTGTATATACATAAACCATAACATAGATAAACTATATTTACATCTGGTATATCCATATATTCGCATCAAGCCATATCTCTGTAGACAAACACACATATATCCACAGAGAAGGTGACATACACAAAAATACAAAAATTAGGTCAGATTCTAGCTTAATTCCAGGTGGTTCCAAAAGACTATCTCATTCCTAGGTCCTTGTGAATATGCTCCATGTTTGCTGAGTTAAAATAAGCACTTCGAATATTGGAGAAAACAAACACCGAATGCATTTGATGCAACACTTACACTGACTCATAGAAAAGGGCAAAGGACCCTGGAGGCTCAAGGGGCCTGGACTCCAGAGGACCCCGTGGTTGGGCTGTGGTATGAAGGGAAATGTCCGTTCCAGGCTCTCAGCCGAGCATGCTGAGCAGCCTGGGTGCCCACCACTGAGCTGTGAGATCGTGGAGAGCAGAGGCCGTAACCCAGTGAGGGCATCCTCACCGCTCTCCATTTGTACAGGCTGGAGGCCCAGTGCAGCTTGCAACTTGGACTTCCTGAAATAATGGTCTGGAATGTGCAAAAGCCTCTCGTATGGCATTGAGTGAAGAGAGAGGGATACAAACTGCTTACATGGTTTAATCTTGATTTTGCTAACAGAAAATGGATATTTCCTAATATGCATAGGAATGTTAGCATAAAGGAAATACACTGAAATGTGACTTTTAGATGTCTTCTTTGTATTTATTATCCTAAAAGTCTGCAATGAGTGGAACACTGGGTGTTATGCACAAACAATGAATCATGGAACACTACATCAAAAACTAATGATGTAATGTGTGGTGATTAACATAACAATAAAAATTATTTTAAAAAAGTCTGCAATGAGCACAAAGCGCTTTTATAATTAAGAAGAATTCTAATAAATGTTCTTTTAAAAGGTAATAGTTGGAAGGTGGAGTAGAGCTTTTCCAAAGAAGCTGAACATTGTATTACCACCCACACTTCTCCCGAATGCCAGGGAAGGAACTTTCTTGTAGACTTCATTGGGGCTTCTGGCCTGGCCAAGTTGGTTACTCTATGACACGCAGGGCTTGCAGTCTCATGGAGACCCATATGAGTGTGTTGTTCCAGAAAAAAATTTACAGACTAAGCTTCCCAGAGCCCAGTGTTCTGCAGAGGAACATCGGAGCCAGCAGGTGCAGAGGGAAGGCAGTACCGCTATTACCCCTTTTATACAGTGGGATTTTCTGGAAGATTTTTCCCCCCAAAAGAGGATTTAATTACTTAAAGCAAGTAGTGTGGTCTCTTCCAAATCCCTCGTTGTATTGAGGCCCACAACAGAATGGACTTGCCCAGGGTCACAATCAAGTTCATCATATTAGAACTAGAGCAAGGTCTCTGGAAAGACAAGCCAGGACACCCCTGGCTCCTGGCTCTGTTGGAGCTTAACCATGAGATTTTGTACAAGGCAGCTTTGGAGGGTTCCTCGTAGCAAAGCCAAGCCAGCACTTTAAACCCTTTTTAGGTTGAGAGCAACACACATCCATTTCTTTGATAATTTTGAACAGGTGGGGATGTGACTCCTCATGTGGCTCTCTCTAAGGCAGAGAAACCAGAGCATGTGGGCCCCCAGGGAAGAGAGGTCACCTGGTTCAGTCATTCTGCTGAGATGGGGCAGAGGTCCAGGGAAGGGAAGAAACTCCCTAACGTCACTCAGGGAGTTCTTTATGGAGCTGGAGCTGCTCCAGAGAAAAAGACGCCCATTCATAATACTAACATATCATCCTTTGTCTATGGAAGAGGCACTTGAATCCCAGACAGGGGTGCAAGTTATCGTTATCCAAAGACACCCAGGGAGGTAGGGGCTGAGTTGGGACTAGTCCATAGCTTTTCTAATCCCCTAACTCCTAGTCTAGGGTATAACCTCCCTCCTCCTCTGCCCCAGCTTGATAAGGCTTTTCTGGTTGTCCGTGCATAGCTAGTTGAGATATCTTCTCGATGATGGTAAATAGCCATTTATTTTCTTTCCCAACTGTCCACAGGATCATCCGGACCAAAGTACAGCAGCCACCCAACCAGCCGGTCCCAGCTTCCAGTCACAGCATAGGTAAGAACTTTTAAAAAAAATTTAAAGATCTAATGGGTTCCAAATAGTCTAAAGAACTTTTAATCATTCTTATGGACAGATAATTCTGCATAAAACACTTCGGCACACGTACTAATGCGCCTTCTTTGTCATTCTCCAAGGGCTGAACCTGGTAAATGAATTTTATAAATACTGCTAAAAGGTTTTGAATTTTACTGATTATTATGATAAATAGCTTTCACCATGAGACAGAAAATTGAAATCTAAGCCAAAAAAAAAAAAATCCACTAATGGGGGTCTATAGAATGTCAGATAATTAAAGTAATAAATCAAGAAAGGGATACTTATTCATAACATTTTCTGCATCATTAGTCAGTAAGTAGTTTTGAATGTGTTTTTTTCTTCTATTAACCAGCCCTTCCACAATTCTTTGTGCACTTGCAGTCTTGAGTGAAGATGTGGCAAAACTTCCCAAACTTTCTCTCTCTCTTTCTCTCTCCCCCTCTCTCGCTTCGATCTCATGTACTCCATTAATTGTTGAGAGCTGCAGTGGGGTTTTTGACACTCACGGGGGTTAGTCTGAGCAAGAGCCACTTGTAAGCATGGGGGTCCTATTTCCTACTATTGAAGAATTCGGAAGTTTCCGTGCCTTTCCCTTCCCCACAAAGACTGTGAGATGTCAGTGACATGTGTCTATTTAAGGCATGTTATTTCTCCACTTGGGATAAAGGAAACACCTCTGGGGGGAAGGTTATTCTATAAGAAAGTGGTGGCCATTCAGTAAGCCTCTGACAGTCCCTGTCACTGTCACTTAATAATGCCTCAGACTGTCTAATGTTTCCACATCTTTGTCACTCCCTCTTTAACTGCAAACTTGAACTCCCCGTGGTGATGGAGGATGGGCAGACGCCAGGCTTATACTTCCAGGTTTGCCATTAACTCATCCGGTGAACTGTGTAAGTCCCTTTGCTTCTCTGAGCCTTAGTTTCCCCATTTGTGGACTGAGGTGCACAAACTAGGTGCTCCCTGAGGTTTCTGTTCCTCCATGTTTGCCTCTTTGGATAAAGGTAAGAGAGAATTCCTCCTTACCATAAAATAATTCTTTTTTTCCTAAAGATCTTATTTATTTATTTGAGAGAGAGAGAGAGAGAGAGCATGAGCAGGGGGAGGAGCAGAGGGAGAAGCAGACTCCCCGCTGAGCAAGGAGCAACGTGGGGCTTGATCCCAGAACCCTGGGATCATGACCTGAGCTGAAGGCAGATGCTTAACCCACTGAGCCACCCAGGCGCCCCTAAAATAATTATATAAGACTGATGAATCACAGCCCTGTACCCCTGAAACAAATAATACATTATATGTTAATTAATTGAATTTAAATTAAAATAAATAAATAATTCTTTAGTAGTCCATTCAAAAAGTGTTTGCTAAGCCCCTGCTTTGCAGGAGATTAGTGTTTTAAAGGAGGCAGGACCTAATCCCCATTCTCCAGGGCTTCTCAGTCTAATGGGGGAATGCAACTAAGAGAAGTTTGCAAAACACCTAGCTCAGGCTTAAGAAGAAGGTACAGGGTACTGTGTGACCCAAAGGAAGGAAACTACCAGCTCTGCTGAGCTGGGCCAAAGAGGATTGAGGAGGGTTCCTGGGGAAATGTTGATGGCTGAGATTTCACTTGTAGCTTTAACTATTTCAGATCACGGAACAGTGAATATCCACGGAACAGTGAATATCAGACTAAGAGTAACTTATGCTATTCTTTCAGTTGGGTTAGAGGAACAATTCTACTTGTAGGTCAGCAGAATGCTTTGTTTTGTTTCAGAAATTTTTATAAAAAACCTATCTTACATATGTACAGCCTCTTATAGTTTACAGATTTATCAAGGGCAGAGGAAACGGAAGTTGAGAGATTAAATAACTAGCCCAAGGACACCCTGCTCATAAGTGGTGGAGCCAGAATTGGAATTTGGGTCTTTTGCGTCTAGTGCTATAACAAAATATCATTGGCTCTGTCAGCGACATGGTGAGACTTGGTCATACGTGGTTGTTGTTTTTTTAAAGTACCAAATGACTTGTGATCTTCTTCCTCTCTTCTTTGCACCTTAATACAGAAAAGGTTGTGAGATTTGCATAAATCTATTTTGAGGAGCTTCTTCTGGTGAAGGAAAAGAGAAGTTAACGATTTCTACTTCTGTGTCTCCTAAGGAAGATCTAAAAATCTAACTCAAATATGAGAAGAAAGGCACTGTTCCCTCTAGGTCTGTAGAAGTAAGAGCTGGATATGCTCCAAGGAAAGCACCAAACAACTTCTAACGCAATCACCACCATTTCTTGTAATTTTCTACACTTTAGAGCCAAAGGCGGCTCCACCTGCCTCCAGCTAGTTATAGCCCAAGGAAATGTGTCTGAGATTGGTTTGTAGGCTTTAATGAACCAAGAAAGAATTCCCACAGCCCAGAAATGGAAATTCAGCTGGATAGCTCCCGATCACCCTGACGACTGACTGACTGGTCTTTCCCTTGGACTCGGGTTAGGAGTTAATGTGAAACTTGCACAAAACCTCCCCTCCCCCGTGCTTATCCTTGGGAATGTAGAGACCTGACCTCAGTCACAATAAGTCACTACCCCTGGCCCCCACATTTCCGGACAGGGGAAATCTAGACTTCAAGTCTAGACCCGAGGCGAAGTCCTAGTGCTACTGCTAACTGGCTAGATGACATTGAGCAAATCCCTTCACCTTGTGAAGCCTTATTTATCAAATGAGGTAAATAATAGCACTTTAGGTTGTTGCAACCATCAAATAGAAAAGCACTGCACTAATGTGAAGCATAGGATTGTTTTTCATGATTCCTTAATGAGGAACAGATTACTCTAGGGGTTCAGACTTCAGCTTCTGAGTTCTGTGGCCTTGGGCAAGTCACTTACCTTTCTCTGAACTTTGGTTTCCTTACCTTTCCAATGAGATAATAACATTGCCTCCCTTATAAGATTGTTCTTAGAATTAAATAAAACAATGCCTCAGTAATGCCTGGCGCAGAGTAAGTTCTCAGAAAATGTTCGTTATCGTTATTATGTATATGTATATATGATGTATGCACAATATATATTCTATTATATATCATATCATTATTACATAATTGATATTAAATATTAAAATCCAGGTAAACTGGAAGGAGAAAAGACTGAGGAACTATAAAAAGAAGGAACGGTCTGCCATTTGGAGTTTTGTTGGCTGAGTGTATGAGTGTGCAGGTATTTATGTCTGCACGGATGGGTGGATATGTAGCAGGGAATGAACCTGCTTAATGAGTAGTCTAGGTCTTTTTTTTTAGCACTGGCTGGTGGTGGGCCCTGGCTCCCCTCTCTCTCTCTTCTCCATTGCCCTGCTTCCTGCATCCTTGGACAGGCTGGGATTTGAGCTAGTGCCCTTCTGACACTGTCCCGTGCTCCCTCCTGCACCGCCAGTCCTCCTAGCTGCCCGTCCTCTCCCTCTCATCACCCCCAGCAGCAGGAAACCTGGGCAAATGGCCCCTGAGGGCAGCTCGCATCGCCCAGGTGTAGAGGCTGCCATAGGGCGAGTGTCCTCAGCACACGCTCGCCGCGCCCCGCACTCCCCGGCTCCGTGCGGGCAGGCAGTCAGTTGCACGCATCAGCCCAGTGTAGGGCGAGTGCCTTTGTTTGGGCCGAAGCGCCCGCCCCCACAGCCCTCCTGCCGGGCCCTGACCGCCCCTCTCCCTCTGTGCAGTGTCCACGGGCTCCGTGACGCAGGTGTCGTCGGTGAGCACAGACTCGGCCGGCTCCTCGTACTCCATCAGCGGCATCCTGGGCATCACATCCCCCAGCGCCGACACCAACAAGCGCAAGAGAGATGAAGGTAAGAGATGCCCACGCAGCCCTGTCCGGGATGAACCCGACGGGCTCTGGTGTGGGGTGGATCAGTCAGAGGAGGAAGCGAAGATGCCCACTGAGCACCTGTTTGCCCGCAGAGCCCCTGAGTCCCCAGGTGGGGTGGACACGGGGAGGGGCTGAGTGCTCTGGGAGAGGCAGGCAGGCTGCTGGCTGGGACTGGGGGTTTCTCACTGACCCGCCCTCATCTTCACCTCTTGGGTGGAGGCAAGTGGGCCGGCAGAACCCTCCTGCCTGAGCTTTGTGGTGTGTAAGAAGACCCGTATGCAGATCTGATGCCTGAGGGCAGGGTGTGCAGGGTGTGAGCAAACGGTTGTCCCCTCTGCAGAGGGAGCCCGGAGGAGAGGGGGTGCTTCGTGCCCTGCAGTGAGAGGTCAGCAGGTGGGTTCTTGAAGGGCTGTGCACAGTCTCCCAGAAGGCCTCCAGTAGTGGTGAGGGTGGGGGCTTTGAGGAAGTGAATCATTTCATCTCTGCCCTTGGGCCTGGAAGGAAGGAGTACAGAGGCCTCCTGGGGATTACCAAGATGGCAATCTTCCCAGTTCGTTTTTCTCAGCCCCTGTGTGCGCCTGCTGCCTGGGTCTCTGGAGCTGGCCGTCTCCGTCCCGGACATGGGCCCACCTTCACCCGGCTCTCTGTGGCCTGGATGGGCTGCCAGTGTTGCTGACCCTTGGGAGTCTGTAAGACATTAGTCAGGAAAGGAAAAAAAAAAACGCCTATGGTCTAGGGCCTGAGAGCCGCGTGACCGAAATCTTGATTCAATTATTCTGTTCCTCAGCACAATTCCCTTTCTCAGCTCCCTGTAAGGGATGTATGTTCTCGGGAGCACGTGCCTAAGTACTTAAGATCTGTAACTAGAAAAATGAGTCGGCCCAGCAGTGGATTGGCCTGTGGTCTGCGTGTCCTGGGCAGTGCAGAGGCTGGGCCTGAGGCCTCCGTTTGGAGCTGTGGGAGAGCGTGGGGATGGTTCACGGCTTCGGAACCCGCCTCACCTCTTTCCCCTGTTCTTGACACTCGGAGCAGATGTCAGAAGTGTTTAACTCAGCGGGTGCTGTGCTGTTACCGCAGGAGGCAGTGGACCTACCATCTCTGTTGGTTTATGGGGTTGATGCTGTCATCTTTTCTCCCATTGTCACCTGGACTCGAAGCAGATGTGCCCAAGCTGGGGCCCAGCTGTGTTTGATTACGGTGGAGGGGCGGGTTGTGTGACGCTCCCTCACAGGCTGAGGGATCCCAGCAGAGATTTTTGGAGAAATTAAAAAAAAAAAAAATCTGGTTTGATGTTTACCACCAAACAGACAGGTCCTGATTTTGGCGGGGGGGGGGGGGGGGGGCGCTGTTTTACCGTTTGCAGAACACTGTACCAACTTTCAGTCTCTGATCAGCGGCCACTGTTTAGCCTCTCAAGCTGCTTTAAAAGGTCTCCAGGGGCGTCTGGCTGGCTCAGTCGGTAGAGCCTGCCACTCATGATCTTGGGGTCATGAGTTCAGCCCCACGTTGGGTGTAGAGCCTACTTAAAATAAATAAATTTTAAAAAAATGTATTGAGTGGTCAGAATGCAGGTGTGTTGTTGGTCTCGACTGCTCTGTGCCATCAGATCATTTCTTGAGGATGGTGGCCCATTTGGGGTATTGACCTTTAAGAAGGACAGTGACAGATGAAGATGTGTCCAGGTGGGTGTAACCTGGATGGACAGGGGTCTGGATATCATAGCACCTGGAGAACACCTTGAGGCTCTAGGGTTGTTTTGATACAATGAAGAGAAGAATGAGCAGGACTGGATCGTTGCCTTCAAATATTTGGGGGGCTGTCATGGAGGGTGAGAGGAATCAGACTTTGCTGTGTGGCCTTCAAGGCCAGCGTTGCAGCAGATGCAGAGGAGATTTCAGCTCAGTGTAAGAAAGAACGTGTAAATGTGAGAGTGGTCTGGGGCAAATGGGGGCTACCTTGGGAGGTAGTGAGTACCCCATCACTAGAGGCATGGAAGTGAAGCCTAGATGACCATGTGCTGGGGCTGCTGTACAAGAGTATCAAGAATTAGATGTAGGATTGGATAATCTTTGACATGAAGTTCTGATGCCCAGAAAGACCTGGGAAGTGATCTAGTCTGTGGTCTGTGGCCTGGGGGCAAAGGGAGAATGATTTGATGATGGTCCTGGAAGCTGACAGGATTGGGAAGAGCGGGAGGCAAAGTTGAGGGAAGGGCCATGAGGGAGAGAGGCATAGTGGGCCAAGGGGAAGAGGCCAAGAGGAATCCTCACTCCCATTTCTCAGATGAGGTGACTGAGGCTCTGTAGGGTGGTGTCACTCGCTCCATTCCACTTTGCAGTCACCTCCAGCTAGGACTTGGCTATTTTCTGGTGCCACTCTTCTGCCCAGGCCTCAGGGCGGGGGGAGGGGGTGGTGGTGGTGGTAATAGAGTCTAGTCACAAAGGGCTTGCCCTCTAGAGCTCACGGGCTGGCGGGCAAAACCGACAAGCCCGAAGCCCCTCCAAAGGTGGTGCTGTGATGGGCAGTGACACCAGGCAGGGAGGGGTGGGCTGATTTTGACCAAAAGGATCCAGGAAGGCTCCTCCTAGGAAGTGACCCTTTATCAAGGGAAAAATATTTTACATTGCTTCTGTTTTTTAAATTTAAAATAATTAAAATCACATGAAATTTAAAATTGAGTCCCTCGGTTGCACTAGCCACATTTCATGGTGTTCAGGAGCCTCCTGATGTTGCCCAGTGGCTACTGTATTGGGTAATGTGGCTTTAGTACAAGTGCTTGGCACATAACAGGTGCTCAGTAAGTGGACTGGATCAGTCATATGCCTGTAGAGCGTTCATAATTAGTAAGCAGGGGGAGTGGATAATCTCCTCAACCTGGAAGGTTTCTGTTTGGTATTTTGGGCTTCCACAGAAAGCTCTATTTGAATAAAGAGTTCTGTAGCAAAAACAAACAAGTTAGAACAACTGTTCAACTAGTGGATTGTCAAGGGCCCTTTCAGTCTAGAAATTCTAGGACTCTCCCCGGGACATTTTGCCTCTAAGATCAGCTTTGGGGGTATGGCCACTGTGTCCAAATCTCAGATGAGCTGTGTGTGGCTCAGGTGGCCGAAAAGGCCCTGGGGCCTCTGAGAGCAGAGCTGGAGCGGCTGCAGGAAGCTCCAGGGAGGCAGAGTACAACTCAGTGCAAGGAACTGCTTTCAAACTAACAGCCAGGCGGGGCCAAGGATGGGAGCATTAGGTTGGGAGGTAATGAGCTCCCTGTCATCAGATGTGTGAGCAGGGGCTAGACAAAGGTGAGGCAGGAGAGGCAAAGAAGGCCTTCTGGTTTGGACTTTGTGACTTTTGAGGCCAGTTCCAATCTGGGTAGCACATGGTTCTCTGACTGCCTGTCTGAAAGTGGTTCTACTACTTGTTTTCCCCTCCTGCCGCCTGACTTGAAGGCGGCCATCCACATGGACTTGACTGGGCAGAGGCCACACCACACAGGTTTCTCTCCCTGGCCTGCTCCTTGGCACAGGGCACAGCGCCCAGAGATGCTCAGGAGGCCTGTGGATGCTACTGAGGGTCAGGGGGCTATGCTGCCCAGGCGGGGGACACAGCCTTCTCTCCTACTTGGGCCAGCCTGAGAGCTTGCACGGAGAAGTCTCTGGCATAGGCCTCAGAAATCCCACTGGCTAGGGGGACAGGGCCTGAAGCGCCCCCCGCCCCAAGAAGGCCCATAGGAGGTGGTGGCAGGTCCGGACTTGGCCGGCAGCTGGAGCTGGGAAGAGTGGCCACAGGTGAAAGGGCAGCCCCACACCCTATTTCTTCCTGGGCCTTTGATCTCTGATGGGGCCTCTGTCCACCATCCCTGGGCCCCCCATTCAGGTCTCTTCGACTTCCCCCTTCCCTTATCCCCCCGCCTGGAGTTTGAAAGGCCCTGAAAACACCAAGGTCAGCCGAGTGAGAATCCCTTTTCCTAGCTCAGAAAGCTGCCCAGTCCAGCACCAGTGTGGACTGTGGGGGCCTGAGCTGCTTTTTGGGGAGTAAAGGGCACATTGCAAGTGGAATTTCTGGCCTTCTGGACCCTGGACTGCTCTCTGCCTGAGAGGGCACAGTAAAGGCATCTAAAACCCCTAGGTGGCCTGTCCTTTCCAAGAGCTGCCAAGTCCAGCAAGACCCTCAAGGAGAGGTTTGGGAGCATTTAGCTGGACCTGTCATGACCAGGTCTACCCCTCTTTCTGGGGGTGCTTGTCTCCTCTATGTCTTTGTGTCCCTCCCCATGTCTTTCATTTTGGAGGTGCATCTCATCCAGTGTTATCTGTCTCTGTTTATGTTAATAGACTTTTTCTGTATCTGCTTCTGTCTCCTGGTCTAGCGCTCTCTCTTTCTCCCCCACCCACACACTCTCTGTGACACACTGTCTCACGCACACACACACACACACACACGCCCTCTCTCTCACACATTCTCACAACACTCTTTGTCACAAAATCTCACACATATACACACACTGTCACACACAAACCCTCTCTCTCACACATACACACTCTCTCTTTGTCACACACTCTCATACACATATACACTCCTCCCATACCACACACACTCTCTCTCTCTCTCTTTTTTTAAAGATTTTATTTATTTATTTGAGAGAGAGAATGAGATAGAGAGAGAGCATGAGAGGGGAGAGGGTCAGAGGGAGAAGCAGACTCCCTGCTGAGCAGGGAGCCCGATGCGGGACTCGATCCCGGGACTCCAGGATCATGACCTGAGCCGACGGCAGTCGCTTAACCAACTGAGCCACTCAGGCGCCCACTCTCTCTCTCTTCACAACACTCTGTCACACACTCTCATACACATACCTACTCTCACACACATACACACAACCTTTTACACGCTCACACACATATACACCTCTCTCTCTCTTATTCCTCTCTCTTTCTCTCATACATACTCACTTCCTGTCTTCTTATATTCGCTCTTGCTCTCCCTCTTACCAAC